GTTTTGGGCTTTGGATTTTAAGGAACTAGCACGAAGTGCTCGGCTGCTGCCAGGCTCTTCGCCTTGCTTCGTGGGCAGGATATTGCATGATCGCATCAGGGAGACCGTCAGACTCTCTTACATCTCGAACTGCTGCGAACCATGCACGCCGAAAGTCTGAATCCCAAGCTGTCCAACCACTGCCGGGACACAGGTCCCAGAAATCCTAAACCCTACCGACGTTTGAACCCAGATCCTCAGGTGGAGGTGCGGGTTCCGGAGGAGGTGCCCTCTCCTGACAGGGCGGCAGGGTAGGGATTCACGGCTGAAGGCACCAGGCAGACTTCGGCTTAGAGTGGAGGCTTTCGACTTTCCGGGTTGGCCCGTCGGCGTGCCAATGCAGCTATGCGAGCTGTGGGGACGTGTGCTGAGGTGCGTTGCACCACTAGTCACTTGCCAGTCAAGGCTTGAAGCGTGGTCGACATCTCATGGCTTCGTTCAGCCAGGGAGACGGAAGCTCATGAACCAGTCCACAGCACCATCAACACAGCGACCCAGAGTTCAGCTCTTCGCGCATGGGGGTTGGGGTGGGGTGGGGCGGGGTGGAGTGGGGTGGTGAACTGAGATTCGGAATCCGTGGCCAAACCAATCTTCAAGACTAATCTTAAGCCCTGAACCTTCCAACAACAAACTTTTGACACTGCTTCGCCTCTTGCCGCGGCGGACTCGGTGCATCGCCGCGATCGGCACGCAGCTCGTCCTCGCAAGCAAGGCGTCACAGCATAAGGCTCACAGCTTCAGATTTCGGTGAAGGCATCTTGCCGTACGTCCGAAACATGTCGAGAAAACCGATAAAGTGACATGTATGTAGGCAATTCCTGTGCCAAACTCCCGTATCCGAACAGCCGTGCAGGACCTCTATCCGCCCCTGTCCAAAGAATACTGCCGCTCGAAGATTTTGAAGTTGAACAGATGTAAGTCTTCGGAACCAGACTCCGCATGCTGACTGAAACGACCCGTTCGTGACAAGATTTTATTTTCATTGACAAAGCCATCCGCGGTTGGAAGGGAGAAGGATAACAATAGAGTTTTGATGTTGTGCATCGAAGCCTTCCCTGCCTTTCCTGGCTTGAAGACTCCAGGTAAGGTTTTGCTTTTAATTTCCCAGACAGGACAACCCGGCGAACTTGCGAATCAAAAGTCGTAAGTCCTCTGAGCTGGAGTGCAGGAAAACCTGCCCTCAGCTCGTCCATCTTCATCCACACGCCCTAGGCCCTAAGAGCCTCTTCTCTTTCTCTGTTTGGCAACCGCTGGAAAGGGTATTACACACTGGGTCAGTCTGACGGTGCCCACCTTGTGAGAGAACGCAGAAACTAATGCTGTACTGAAAGACATCTCGATGAACGAGTGTGGTGCACGAAAGCAGGACAAGTTTCAACGTCATACAATCAGGGCGTGTGCTCGACCGGGATGAGGGCTTCGGTTAAGTGGACCTCCAAGCAAATGAAATGTAGTGTAGATCCCAACTTCAGACTGAGCACGCGGTCCTGACCCTGCAGTTCCTTCAATCAAGCAGTACTTTAATCTTATATTGTCGACTCCAAAGTCCGTGCATCAAAGCATCAAACAGCCCAACAGACTCAAGGGGCCGCTTGCTGAAACAAACTGCCACCCGACCTCACGAGCCCCCGGGAAACAAAACAACAAAAAGCACACGTCCCTGAACTCTGCTCCACGCTGTCCTGAAGGGAGCCCCCACCACGGCCGCGGCCGCCGCGGGACCGAGACCTGGCCCACAGCGCGAATTTTGCTGCACTGCGTGAGGTAACAGGTCCAGTGAAGGCCCGACGCCTTTTCGACCACAGACCGGTTCCCGACAAGTATCTCACAAGCCGAGCGACAAATTCCGCGCCTATGTGCTGCAGAGACACCCTGAACTAAAGCCTTCAGCCGGAACACAAGAGCAAGACCATGGCATCTATCCTTCTGTCACTTCCTGCATAGATATACAGTCTTTCCCTCAAGGCGCGGGGTTGTTTTACAATCCCGCTTCCCGAGAGTGCATGTTTATGGATCTGTAATATGGCTTAGAGTGTATGGGTTTCATGCAGTCTGTGGGTTTGGTGTCATCCGCTTCGAGTGTCTGCATGGTCATGATTCATGGCAGCAAGCTTAACAACTGGCCATTGCACGGCCCTGTGCCCCCCCAAGCCACAAGCGACAGAAACGTGAAGTCTCAGCCGGGCCGGAGGACCAGGAACGAACCCTCATACTCTCCCAGGTTTGTCTTGGTCCTATTTCTGGGCCCCCGACCGACTGCGGCGACGATCGCGGTCCTCGGCCGAGGACAGTGGGGCAGACAGAAAAGCGAGCGAGCAGTTGCATGCCATGTGTTCTCTGCAATTTAACTAGAACCGATGAAATCGTGCACTGTAGGGCCTAGAGTCTAGAAGTTGCAGCTCTCGGGGCAAAAGGTGGCAGCTTCGAATGCAATGAACATTCGAGATAGATGAATTGGAAATGTCAAGACATGCTGGCTCTGATGATGTTTTTGGGAATCTCTTTGGTGCAGAGGTCTTTGCAAAGTATACGGTAAGGGCTACCGGGCTACCATCCCCTCTTGGCTGCTGTTACTGCGGCGCCTTAACAGTTAGAATAGGGTTTTGGGTTTTTTCTATATATAATGGTAAGGAAGCCCCCAAAAAAGCCAGGCCCCTCTTGGCTACTGCTTGCTCTAACGCCCCACTGTTGCCGGGCCCTGGGCCCTGCTGCGCCGGTCGCGGCGGTCGCGGTCCCGGCTACGCCGGTCTCGGCTCCTGGAAGCATCGGGCAATGGGCCCTGAAGCCAGCTTATGTCTTAAATCGTGTCTCTGATGAAGCTGAAAGCCTGTCTTCACTCCTTCTACCGGCTCTACTGTCTGACAGGTTTTAGGGGTGCAACCACGTAAGACGTAAGACGGGAAAGGAAATGGCTATTAGTGGTTTGCGAGGCAATCAAGCTAAAGAGGATCCTCCGATCACGGCTGCGACGATCTCGATCCCGACGGTCTCGATCGCGGCTACGGTCCTGCGCGGGATTTCTACTGCTGTGCTGGGGCGTGGGCACCCGAGAAGGACTGCCCTCCAATCCATGCCTGAAAGCTCAGTCGGAAGCTCAGGGCCTTCCCGGCTCATAATCTCGGAAGCCTTCTCGCGCTCAGTCATAGTCATGCGGATCAGTTCCACGGTCCTTCCGATCGTCGCGTCCGTCCGGATCCGCCGGCTTCGCGTCCTGGCAAGGCCAAGGTGGCACGGCTTGAGGGCGGTAGGGTCTCGGAGCACGTGAATCTGCGATGCAGAGTGGGCACTCTGAGTTTGGTGCGATGTCGCGGGCTAAGGGCTTCCGCTAAAGGTCAGAGGACAAGGTCGAGGCCGGTAGCAGTTGCGGACCCGAAGCTCAAACCAAGACCAAACCCAAATGCAGAGCGCAGCACCGATCAAGGCAGCACACACTTTTCACAAAGCATCCACGCCTTCGTGCATTCCAAGCTTGACCCTGGACCCGAACCCCCAAGCTTCCAAAGCCGAAACTCATCACGAAATATCAACAGAGAGCCCCATTGCAACGTTGAATCCCGAGTGATCCTCCGGCGGAGGTGGAGGAGGCGCTTCTCCGACCTCCCGTGTAGCCCGAAGCTTTTGGAACGTCAGTCGCAAAGTCTTGGGAGGTTAAGGAAGTTTCCAGATGTTGAGGCCTAGGACTCGGACATGCGATAGGGGAGTTGAAGGTTTCTGTTTCCTGTAAGCCATCAGCCGACGAGGTTTATGCAGTTTGAGGAAGGGGGCTTCAAGATGCACAGGAACGGTGCTCCGGCTTTCGAGGTTGTGCCTATGGATGTCTTGATCTATGTCGTGAGTCCCAAAAGACCCCAACATTCAACGGCGCTCGCGTCACGGAGCTCTGAACAGCAGTTTTCAGCTCCGGGTCAATACCTTCAAGCTGTGATCTAGTCTCTGATGGCTGGCACCCTACTGTAGTCACTGATATCGTGGTCTTGAGACCGACCCTGCTCCATAAATAGCTTGTAGAAGTTGGCACTCTTACGCCCTTCAAGTTCTGCCGAACAGTCTGAATCTACGCCTCGAAATCCAAAACCGAGATGTAGGATTCCGAAGTGAATGGATCATCGGCCTGATCTTCCGCCATGGGCCGGTGCTGCAACTTTCCTCTGGCAGCCTCTGCAACCACGCCTGGGCCCTAAGTCCCCTAACCTAGGCCAAGACCGTAAGCCTGATGTCCAACACCCGACTTGTTCACCCGAAGCCCTCGAACTCGTGCTGATGCTTCGTGGGAGCAACTCTGAAGCTGAAGGTTTGACAGTCTGGCTGCGAGATGTCTGCCCGTATGCTCTGCTGGCTGAAGTCCTGTTTGTCCACAGCTCGTGTGTGTTCCCTGCTTCTTCTCATGAGTGAAACTTGGGACTGGCAGCTCTGGCTGCGAGCCGGCGTGGCCAACTGCAGGGAGCACAAGCTTGGTGACTCCGTGGACAGGGTTGGATTTTCGTGGTAAGCCGGATGCCGAATCGACTGCAACACGGAACAAACGTTCATACAGTACCAAAGACACGGACTAAACTTTTGCTCTGCAGGAACGTGCTTGCGTGGTTGAGAAAATCTCTAAAGTCAGCCAGCACAAGCGGACTTGTGATTAGAGAGGTTTCCAGAGACTTCAGAGGCTGTTATGGCCAAAATTGCAGCGTAGGGTCGCAAGTTCATGGGACCACGGTTCACGATCTTGTGTCACTTTGTGTGCCTAGGCTGGAGTCAGGGCGGAGCGCGCAAGCCCTTCACAACTGAGTCCCTGAATCCCTTGAAGGGGTCCTCGCCAAGAATTTGCTTGAAAAAAGGGGGTCGGTTGTGGAGGACAAAATGCTTTTCTCACATGCAAACCCATTCCCGCACCTAAGTCTCCAAATTTGCACTCTCTCAGCATGCGCTCGAACGCTTTTCAACCGGGTTGAAGCGCAATGTTGGTGAAGAGCTCAGAAAATCCATCGGGCGAGTGACTTACCTGGCAAAATCATGAGGGTCGAAGCTCGAAGGCTCGGAGGGTGCGCCTCTTGAGTTTCTGTATAGCCGCACGACGCGCTTGACCCCGACGTCTCGCAAACAAGTCAAGCCGAAAGGCCCCTTTCAAGTACGTCCCTCAGGTGCCATTAACAGCTAGCTAGCAGCTAGCATCAAAAAGGCATGAGCCGAATGTCTGCGAACCGTCCCGCCCTTTGCCTGTTCCGTACACCCATCTCCTCACCACCCTGCTATTCATAAAAACACGACCGACGAAGAGAGAGGAAAGGTGACCATGGCGAGGAAAGCCTCGAGGGGATCTGACCTCCACATCCACGCTTCCGTATCCGACTATCTGCGTCGCGAAACATAGGTCCCACTCACTGCATAACATACCTGGTATTGCGACGAAGCCAAGTCCGTGGACCTCCCCGAGCCCCTCAACCCGGGCTTGCAGACTTGCAGGCTTGCGCTGCTCCCAAGGCTTGAAACTCAAAGCATCATACACCTAAACTCCGAAACCTTGAGGCCAGGGAAGATACGAACCCGGCCAAACAGTGTCGGGAAGACAGTTGTTCTGGATCTCGTAACAAAGCGGACCTTTGATCTTCGTCCCCTTCGCCTCCGATGCCGGGGCGACTAAGATCTTGAAGAGCTCTTTGAGCTGCGAGTTCAGGACTTCTTCTGCAAGATCGCTTTTGTTCGGGCGCGTTTAGCATCCAGGGTGTAGGGACTTTCGTCAGCTTTAGGGGTTGAAGGATGCGGCAGGCTTGGCTTCGTTTGAGCCATGCCAGCTCCAGGAAAACAGCCGAGAGAGAGACAGCCCGCAAACGAGAGTCTCCATTTGAGTCTCCTTTGAGCCTCTGACATCATGTGGCTAAGATTTTCTGACTTGGGCTTGGGCTTTGGGCTTTGGGGTGCACATCGAAAGGCCGGGTTTGTGGTAGTGCCAATCTGTGTGGTGCCTTGTTCTTCGAGATGCAAACGAAGGAGTTCTCACTGAACTTGATGTAGCTGCCATCCTTGCCTGGCACATTCCCACAGCTCCGCTTTCGCACACCTGAACCAGCGCTAATTGACCCCTTCGTCCAATGTGAAGCAGGCTGCCTATGGCGTATTTGACCGGCAGGACGTGGGGAGGGGGGCTTGGTGTCTGCGGCGGTGGTGGTGGTGGGGGTGGTGGTACTGTTGCCGTTGTCGTGGGATTGCGAGGATGATGCTTCTGCTGATGATGATTGATGACGGTCATGACACCGGCTATGACAGATCCTGGAGGTGCCGCTGACGATCGTGGTCAATAGGTGATGATAATGATCTCACTAGCCCCTCACTTTTTGCGTCCAGGTACTGGTGACGGGCTGCCGCGGTGAGCACACGCATCGCTTGGCGTCCCCAGCGGGCTTTGAAGCCCTCGAACCCCCCATTTTGGGAGGGCGGGAGGGAAAGACTTGAGCAGCACACATTGCGGCCGCAACCATGTTGGGCGGCTCCAATCAAAAACGTTCAAGAACACTAATGATCTCACTAGCCCCTCACTTTTTGCGTCCAGGTACTGGTGACGGGCTGCCGCGGTGAGCACACGCATCGCTTGGCGTCCCCAGCGGGCTTTGAAGCCCTCGAACCCCATGTCCGCAGCTCCCCATAGGCGCTGGCGCCCTGGCCATTAGGCCGCGTCCAGGTAACCTTAAAGAAACCAGAATAGTTATATGTAGGAGGCAAAGGCATAGGCACGGCGCTGCACCACTGCGTTGCGAAAACACTGGGCGAGAACAGTGCAGAGCAACTTCGGGTAGGGCTCAGCGATGGAAGTCCAGAAGCGGCCATCAGGGGCCTGCCCAGCCAGATGAAGGTGGGGCCTGCCCGAGGCCGCACACGGGCCACGCTTTGTTCCTGCACATCGAAAAGGTTCAAGAAGCTCAAAATGGAGGTTAACTCCAGCGAAACGTGTAGGTTTCTTCCAGCGCTCCCCGAACATGCAGAAATCGCAGTCCCAGCACTGTACTTGTTTTCGCCGAAGAAGACGAGTGATGCTAGGGCAGTTCCACAAACGAGAAGACCTGGGATTTTCGATGGAGAGGGGAACTCGACATTGAAGAGCCTGAGTAGCAAGCCGAACCGTAAACCGCATGAGCGTGTTGCCAATCCGGACTTTGCGCCTGTCACGTGGAGCAAGGTGAGGAAGTCCTAAGGGGTGCAGGTCACTACGTAGCGGCAGAGGTCCCGGCTGGCATTCTCGAGCTCGCGAAAAACTGGAGCAAGGCGTGCCAAGATGTATGCCAAGCAACAGGCCTGAGCGAAGCCAACCAATGATGCACTGTTGGTTTACATGCTTGCACAAGTCATACTCAGGCCCAAATTGAATATCCCAAACTCGGACAGGCCAGTCATTTTTTGTAGCGCAGGCAGAAGCAAGGCGCCCGGATCCTGAGAAAATTTCCAAGAAGAATGGCACATTTGGCAAAGGCTGCGATCGAGCCGGTATCAGCGTAGCTTCTTCAGTGTCTCTGGGAGCTTGCTTGATGCCTTGATGGCATGCTTTTGAACCGCCTTCGGAAGCGAGTTCATAAGTTGGGTGAGGCGCCCTCCTTTTTGGTAGCGTCTCACACTTGACATGCTGCGCCACCGTCCCCGATGTTGAATCTCGGTGAGGTCTCTGAGCTTGTGAAGAAAATCGTGAGAAGCCCCGCCGTGGCGCAGTCGGTAAGGGTGGAACGGTCCGAGTTTCTGTAGATTGAGAGCGTTGGCTGCCATCTGAGTGAACTCCGCGAAATCCTGGAGTGTGTGAGTGAACAATAGTGAACACCTTCTGGTCCTCGTGGAGGCGCTGGAGATGCATAGCCCGGTACATGGCTTCCCCCACGCCTGCGTGGTACGGTAAGTCGAGGCCGACGGTCTCGTCGAACTCCTGAGTCTTTGAGGCCTGGCCCACTTCCAGAGGGTGCAGTACAAAGGTCCAGGGAGATGACTTTTTCCGCCTGCCTGCAGGTGGCACCACATCCTTCGCCCGAAGGCCCAAAGCTTCCCCTGGACGAAGGTACAGCATGAAGCTGAGAAGAAGGTGGAAACCCAGGGCGATCCTCTGGGACTCCACCGCCCAAAGAAACACCAGCGCGACCACTTCGAACGGGACCGGGAGACGACTCTGTGGCGGACAGAGGCGGCGCCACCCTTGAATGCTCTGTCTGACCCGTGGCAGCGCCTGCATTCCCATGGCCTTGATGGCGGGCACAAAGAAACATATCGCCGCAATGAGGTACTGGGCAGCCGAAAGGTCCTCGCCCTCCAAGAAGAGGTGCTCCAGATGGCCGGCGAGGTTCGCATCGAGCTCGGCGGTGGGCATGAGCGTGCCCGTCACAGACATCACCAGATGGCGTGCAGCCATCCACGCCACTTGGTAGCGCCGGAAGCACGCTGCACTCACCGACGCCGTTTCCAGGAGTGTCTTCTCCGGGCACGAAGTCTTCACTCTGGCCCGCGCCACCCGCCGAGCTGCCTTCCGTGCACTGGGGTTCTTGAGCTCGCCCGGGTTTTGAGGTGTCACTGTTGCCGCCGGAGGCGCCTTTTTCGGCTCCGGTGGCTTCTGAAAGGAGCTCGCTCGAGGAAGGAGCGGAGATCTGTAGAGAACCATACTGCGAGGGTTGCGAAGCCGTCCAGGATCCTCGAGAGGGGCCGTCAGCAGGGTTCCATTCAGAGGGCACCCACCGCAAGGCGAATACGCAGCGGGTGACCAAGGCAATTGCCCCGATCTGCTGACATACCCGGCGCAGCTGAAACCCTTGGGCCCGCCCGCGGGACAGTGCACACACAGCCGTCATTGAGTCGGAGAGCAGCAAATGTTTCCCGCCCCAGTTGGCTTGCGTCCTAATGATGTGCTTGACAGCGTTGAGTGAGGCCCTGGCTTCAGCAACCGGGAGCGTCAGAGGACGGCGCCATTTGTGCCTGCCAGTAACGACCCAGGTGCGGTCGACCGTCTCGAACGTCACGGGCTCAAAACTGTCAAAGGCCTGGTCCTCGTCATTGAGCACGTCCTCCACACCGGTCGCCTCCTCGACTGAGCACCTGGCTCCATCGGTCCCCGGAGCAAGAGTCTGGGAGCGAGGCCGGGCCCCGCCTGGGAGGCGAAAGCGCCAACGCTCATTGTATTTGCCCAGCCGCCGAACCTCCGCGCGGGGGACAGTACCAACGACGACTCCGAGCCCCCATTCTGAAGCATCAACAGCATGAACTGTCTCAGACCATTGCGATGCGAGGTCGCGGAAGATGAGTGGCAGGATCCCATCCCACTTCAGAAACTCCTGACGTACAGCAGAGGGGAGCCTTACCTGTTTTGGGTGGCCACGGTAGTCCTGCACGAAGCGGTAAACCTCGCCGAAAACAGATAGAGCCTCCCGTCGACCGAGACAGATAAAGCAGCAATGACCGAGTACCTTCTCAACCTCCTTGCCCGTGACCCGACCTTGTTGAAGAAGCCCTCGGACTGCGAGTCGAGTTTTCCATGCTCGGTGCCTGGATGGACGAAAGACTCCGTTGCTGCAGAACTCCCATCCGAGGATTATGGCACCTGAGTCATTGACTTCCTCTTCGTGCACCTGCAACCCGGCGTTCTTGAGCTCCTGCACAGCCTTCTGGTACGCCGCCTGGACCTGAGACGCTTCGGTGCCGAGCACAATCAAATTATCGACGTACTCAGTGTGGAGAACCTCGGCATCCGGCGTGGGCCTGCGGTCGCGAAGACAAGCAGAGTCCTTGAGGCCGGAGCGCAAAACCAGTCTTTCGTGCAAGGTTTGACATACGAAAAGTGCCCAAGACCACCCCATCGGAACCACCGCCAATCTAGGGTACACCCATCTCTCCGAGCCAACCTTCGCCTCAGGAAGATAGCGGCAGTCGATCCGAGGAAGCCCAAAAAGCCCTCTTAAGCCTTCAGGCAAGGATAGATGATAGAAGGCGTCCTTCAGGTCGGCGGTGCAGATGGTCAAGCGATCACCGGGCTCAATCTCAATCCTGCTCAGACTGTCGCCGGTAGCCAGCTGCACATACTGAGGATCGGCAAAGTGAGCATTGCTACGTCGAGCGTCAATGATCATGCGTAAGCGCCCTAGCTTCTTTGCCACAAAGAAAACAGCCACCATCTCACGACAAGGAGTGCTCGTGTAATCAATCAGGTTTGAGTCCCGCAGCCTTCGCAAGAAATCTCGGTAGACCACAGGGTTCTTGAACTGGGGGTCGGAGTATGGATGCTCAACTCCACTATCATGGACCCGCTGCAGGGCGTCATCAAGAGGCAGCAGCTGTCGTTGAAGAAAGTCAACGAATTGTGGCCCGTCGGCGCCCCCTAAAGCCTCCAATGAAATGGGGCTCCAGCCTGGTGCCGGCAAAGAAACACCTTCGGGATTGTAGGATGCGAGCGAACCCACCGACTGGACGTCAGGGTCAGTGTATCCACTCGCGGCCCGGAGCTGCCGAAGCGCTCCCGAGCATGACACGCCGACCGGAGGCCGCCCCATGTCATGAACTGCCTGCTCAACCAGGCGTAAAGCCTCAACCTGTGCAGCCGAGGCACCAGCCAAAAACTCCCCCGTCGTTTTGTCGGCGAAGCGGGCCGGACTATCAAACATTGAATTCAAGGCATCGATGGTGTGGTTTGCCTCGATGGTCTCCATCTGCCTCTCGTGGCACCTTCTCTGTGATCGGCGGGCCGAAGGCCTCAAAGCGTTGGCCCTGGAAGGAAGCCGCGGAAGCGGGAAGAGATCACGAGGCTTCCGGGTGGCATGCAGCAGCCCTGTGTCGCTGTAATCGGCCCCGGGCTGCAAAGGGCCGACCGCCGAGGGCTCACGAGTCATTGTCGCCCTTGGCCCCCTTCTTCGGGAGGGCTCGTCGGGCGATTTCTCGCTCCTCCTTCGCTTTTCTAAGATTCTTAGCGAGATTCGCATCCCGCTCAACCTCTGCTCGAACGTGGTCCAACAAGTCAGGGCACACCATCAAAGTCCCCGCCTGCCTCGTGAGTCCGCCGAAGGTCTGTTGCTCCTCTAGGCTGAGGCGACCGCCCACGGACTTTGCCTCCTGCTCTCGTGCCTTGTCTGCATAAGCATATTCAATTGTCTGGAGGCGCCTGAAAATCACTTCTATGCAGAGGTTGTTGCACCCATCGAACTGATCAGTCTGCAAAGCATGTTTGAGAACCATCGATAGCTGAAAATGCTCCTGCACGCCCCAGTTACCCGCATCAACCTTCACAAGCTGTCGAAATCGTTCATGGTGGCCTTCAAGCCCTAAAGCCTCGACAGCCAGGTAAGCTAAGCACCACTTTGCAGTACGAGGCCCCGATAACTTCCAAGTCACCGGCGCCTCAGCGGATCGCTGGGCACATTCCTTGAGGGAACACTCCGGCATCCCCCGTCCGTCTATGGAGACTGGCAAGACCCTGTTGTCCCATTCCGCCGGACGCCCAAGGAAAGACTCCCGGCCCCGGCCCCGGATGCACTGCACAAACAAAGAAGCTCCGCTCGGCAGAGTATGGACGGCCTTGGCCCCCTCGGAAGCAAAGGCCCCGACATTGGCCACTGCATCGCCGTACTTCACATCCTCGACCGCCTCCGCCGCCATCCAATAGAGGGTCTCCGCGTCAAAGTTCCCCCCAGACGCCGGGGCCAAAGCCGCTGCCGCAGCAGCGGCGGGCTGAACAACCGGCGGTAGGCCGGCGGGGACAGCCGCCTCCTGCGCCATCAAGGCATCGGCTTCTCTCTCGAAAGTCGCCAGCCGAGCTGCAGTGAAAGCGGGCAGAGCGTAGATGCTAGCACCACGAATGCCCACGGGATTCCCGCCATTGGGCCCACCTAGGCGCAGGCCGGCCAGATCGTCGTTGGATAGCGTGAGGTCCTCGACGAAGACGTCCCCATCGGGGGTCACCACCACATAGCTTTCCCCGGCAACTTGGCGAAGGACCAGCCTCTCATGCCACAAGGCCGGGCCCTCCACACTATAACGGAGAAAGACTCTTCGATTAACGAGAGCCATGCCGCCTCAACCTGATCGTTGCCAGCTGTTGCTGTGCCAAGGCGCGCTGAACCGGACTGTCAACAGGATCCTCTGATTCCTCGACGAACCTTGGAGCTCCCCTTCGGCAGCAGCGAGAGTGAGTAACAAAAGCAGCCACGGACAGGGGCCACTGAAGGATCACCACGAGCAAGACCCAAGGGAAGTCCCAACAGGCGCCCGCTTTAGCCCTGTGGCCTCCTCCCTTGCCCTTGCGTTCCCCCTCTACTGGCTCACAGCACTGATCGGAAAGAGCGTCCTTGCAATGATCCCCAGCAGCACGAGCAGCGGTTTCAATGATCTCGGCAACGTGGGTGCCACGAGTGAGGGCCTGGTGAAGCAGACCTCCCCCGAACAGCCCGGAAACAGCAGAGAGCAACGGGACCACGACTCGGACCAAGGATCCAGCAGGGCCGCCCATCGCACCTACTTTAAAGACTTGAGCAGCACACATTGCGGCCGCAACCATGTTGGGCGGCTCCAATCAAAAACGTTCAAGAACACTAATGATAAACTCATTCCGCTGTCATTCTGCTCGAAACTACATTGGCTACACCGAAATAGCAGCACTAGTTGCAACGCCAACAAATGAGCATGGAATGGTGCTCAACCCAACACCGGAAAGCTCTGGAGCCCTGCAACGAGAGCCAGGGTCGCGATTGCGCTCCTCAGGCACACCAAATTGGACTGGTGCAGGACTTTAAGGTCGTGTGCCAGCTTGTGGGTTCTGCTCAAAACTGCTCGAGACCGCACAAGCACGGGCGTCCTTGCGGGTGCGGGCGATGATGCCCTTCGGCAACTGCTCCCCCTGCCAAACGGGCTTCTGGTCTCGAAAGCCACAGCCCCCCAGCGAACCCACAAATACGGGGGACAACTGAGGACTGCAAACAGCGGCTTGAAGCAAAGCTGGGCCGCTGCTGTGCCTTGTACCACTCGTGCTTGTCGCGGACCTCAACATCTCCCACGTCGGACGCATGTTGTGAGTGTAGGATTTGCAGCGACTTGGGTTTTCGGGTCGAGGGCTTATGGCATACAAGCCTTTTTTGTAACAAGTGGACATTGCAGCAGAATTGCTGAGCCCCACAATTGCGTCAAGACGTGCAAACGACTTCGTCCGTATCGACGCCTTGTATGCACACCTGAAGCATGCAGACACAATGTCGGCATGGAAATCCTGAGCGCTTCGGCTCCCAATAACAACCCACACAAGCAACAAACTCTACGAGGAGCTCTCTGTTTCTGCGTTTGGTTTAGATCCCGGAGTTCTTGCGAACTTGTCCTGGGCCACCGCGCACTGACGCGAATGCGATCTCCGATCTTGCCAGTTCCCCACTTGTTCCTGCCTCGGCCGGACAGACGCTGCTAGCAGCAGCTGGGGACGGAGGGAGAACAAAGAGGAGGCCTGAAGGAAATGCGGCCCAAGCTCGAGTTCCGTGAGTGCAGGCTTTGGTCCGGCACCGAAACTAAGCTTGGGAGGCTGACAGTCCGAGTCGTGTCTCAGGGTCTGGGACTGGGAGGGTTAGGACAATCAGGAACATAGTCTGTATAGTGCTGCGGTCCCTCAAGCGCCTTCCGATCTTGGAGCCAAACGCTCCGGCATGGCCGTTTCAAGACGGCGCCCTTCACCCTCTAAGCGCCCGCGCCCAAACCGATGATGCAAGCCTTGATGATGCCCGTGTTGTCAGCACAGCGAACCTTAGGGCACACTGGAGTCACTGTTTACAGCGTGGTGTATGGCACTTGTTCCCGGAAGTTCACGAACCATCATACACCTCCACCCGACAAGTCCGGATGCAAGAGCTAAGGCCTAACCGTTCCTAGCGCGAAGTCCACGATCTCGGCCTGCCATTGAGGTAGAAAGACGATCCGAAGGTCGGGTCAGTAGGGCAGCACTTGCCCGGAAGAAGCGGCGCCACTCAAGACCAGAGAACCGAAGAAGGGCGGCTTGCTGCACTCAATCCTTAAATCCCTGTGCCCTAATGTCACGGAATGAACACTGGGTGCCCCGCAATGGACTGCTTCCACAAGCCCAGGCGCAAAGGGCTGAGAAGGAAGGCCATGTCTCAGCACTTGACTTGGCCGTCGAAGCAAGTTTGTCTCCCAAGTCGAGATCGCGTGCTCAAGGCCTTTATTCACAAACTTCAGTCTGGCGACGATGGTCTGTGCAAGGCTTGCTTGCTTGGTTGATGAAGGCTTGCTGGGGGACGGTTGCCATTGTAGCGACTACTACAATAATAAGAAACAGTAAAACCTCGACGCAGTCATGGCGTCGATATTGTTGTTGCCGTTGCTGTCGCTCGTGTTGCCGTTGCTGTTGCGGTTGCTGTTCGTGCCGCTGTTTCCATGTTGGTCGAGGTTGAATTTAATACTGCACTTCGGTATGCTGCAGCTGGCTGATTCGTAAAGTAGGCTCGATGATTTCAGGCTGTGCCGTATGCTTGAGCCATGGCTCCCGGTTGCAAGGCTTAGCACTAAAGGGGTGCGAACGCCAGACTGCGTCTCTTCTTTCTCGCCACCCAGATCAAGACCCAGATCAAGGCCACCGCGAAAGCGGGCGATGCGCCATACAACTGAACTTTCAGAAATCCACACTCACGGCTGACTTCCGCTCTATACCGGCCTTACTGACAGCTTGGCAGTGGAGCTCTCAGCATATACAGATGCAGTGATGTAACGCCGCGAATCCTCATGTTGCCTATCCCGCTCTCGCACTGTAGCGCGAGTGCGAGGGGTGTGGGACGGACTTGACATATTTGGAGGCCCGCACGTCAGAAGCCAGTTAGAGGCGACCCCTAACTCTCACCCTGCGTCCTTAGACTCTAAGCCCTGCACCCCCAAAAGCCTAAAGCTTGAGAAGCCAAACCCTGAATCCTGTTAGCCCTTTTCCCCCCCCCCTCCAAGCCCTAAACCCCAAAATCCTGAAACCCTACAAGCCCGCCCCCGAACCCTAAATCCTCTAAGACTCTAAAGGCCCTAAACCCCAGGTTGGAAGTTACCTGAATGGCGGCTGCCTGACTGCCTGCACAAACCTCCTAACCAAACCCCAAGCCCCCTACTCTGTCACTCCTCCGCAGTCCCTATCTTGGGAAGTCGAACTGTTTTTGTCACCTGTGCCATTCCGCTTCCGGAGAAACTCGGAGACCTGCAAATACAACAGGATGCAGTCATCTTGCGACATGCAGGGCACTAATGTGTGACCCAGGGCTCTTCAACCAACATTGAAGATGCGCTGAACCTCGACGCACGGCGACATGGAATTGCATGCAACAGGAAAGACAGAATGGTATCAGACTGAGTTCGTCTGCGGACTTTCAAGTCAAGAAGGCACTGGCGTGCCGCTGCACAAACAACTACTTGGCGCTGGGGTTAAGTCGGCCCAGGCCGTGTGAAGTCGAATCTCCCGTTTTAGAGCCACACCTAGATTCTTGTGAGTTGGACGCATCGGCGTAAAGTAGCCCATGCGGTGCGCAACCACATGAAAATGACTGTTTTGAATGAGCACGACCAGACATATAAAATCTGCATTTGGCATGAGCCGCTGCGCAATAGCTGATATTCGCAACCCCTGCCGTTTTGCCACCATACTTGCCAGAGACTTCGCTCGGACAGAACATGGACTGTCGATTCTCGTTTCCGCGTGCCACAACCCGGATCCATATGCCCCGCGTTCGCGTTGATCTTCCAGCGCCGCGCCCCGCACAACCACCCTACTTGCCTTGCGTGCCGATCGTTGACGGGGAATACCAGGCCGAATGTGCCACAACCTGTGAATCGAAGGGAGGCCAAGCGCGAAGCGCCTTCAAGCCCAAAGCCTGCTGTCAGGGGTGCCGAAACGGCTTTGCACGAGGGCGGCGTGACCTCGAGATCACCCCGGTCCCGAAATGCAAAACTCCACACGCATTTGTTGTATAGCAGCCTAGATGCATGCCAAGTGCATGCTAAAACAATGCTCACCCTACCACGGTTTGGCCGACATACCTACGAGACACTGGTCCTGCAGGGCAATCACCATGTGCACGCTACCACCACGACTTTAGACAAGGCCGGCCGACTTAACCCGAATATCCTGTACATATGGCCGTACGCTCGCGCCTTGTGCCTTCCTTCGAAGCGCCCAAGGCACGTGTGGAAAAAGCCATTCGACATGGTACCTCACCAGTGGACCTCACCAGTGGAACTCGACCGTGAACTCAAGCTCCTTGATTTGTTGGGCCAGCCATTCAATGCTCCAGACCTGTGCTGCCAGGCCCTGTAGCCACGTAACTCCCGTCACAAGCACGGACACGATCCAGCCCGCCAACAGGTTGGATGTCACTCTGACACCTAGCAGGGTCTGAATGTGCTCATGCACCTCCGTGTTGCGCTGGAGGGTCGAGAGATCCAGCTGCAGTGTCAGGTTAGTAGCATCATTCCAACTAGGCACCTTGTCTGCTTCCTCCCTGACCCACATTTCGTCTGGGAAGAACCTGGCCCAGGTGGCGGCATCCGAGAGAACCTGAGCATCTCGAACAAGCAGGGAGTTGATGTCGATTCCGTAGGAGAAGACACGCAACATCAGCAGCAGGAACGGGCTCGACGAGAGGTACATGATGACCAATGCTTGGGAAATGAGACTATACTTCAGCAGCAAATCCAGAGAAAGGAAAGCTCCAAAGACCGCGAGGAACGTCGCCACCATCACGCCGACAAACTCCATCTGCGAAGCTTCATCTGCCAAGTCGATGTGAACATACTGCCGCAATAGCCACCATGCTTGCAAATCATCCTCATGCGCGAAGCTGAGCTGGCACGAGTCTTGCCGAAGCAATTCATGGAAGAGCTTGGCATCTCCACATGTCAGGGCTGGGGCAACCCTCCACCATGGAAACATGCGCGAGGGTGGCCCGCTCTGGGATGCATTATTGAACAACATCTGATGAACGTCCCCTGACGATAGTCTGTTGATCTCTGCCTCTCGTGCATACGTCTGCAAGAGCCGCTTGGCGCGACACCTGTTCCTGTAAGAGTACGCCTCCAAGCCGCGAGACAGGTGCGACCAGCTCGTGAGCCGGCCCGGGCAGGAGAAGATGAGGACTTGGGTGATGTTGTTCCGAAACTTGTCCGTGGCGTTGAGGAGAGACAGCAGGAGACGGGCCCAGCCATCGCACATCAGAACCAAAGACCCTAACATGTTAATCCACCACCACGATAAGGAGAAGGCTTCGAAGGTGGGCTCGTCACGATTTTGGAAGAGCTTGTTCCGAGCCTCCAACTCTGGACCCACTGACATGAGGAACACTCCACTGCCAAGCCCAAGAGTCGAAAGTGCCACAATGGTCAGATTCACGCGGGACCAGCCGGCATCCTGTGCCGCCTGTTGGGGCTGCGGAGTGTCGTCTTTCGGCTCGCCGAAATTCTGCGATGTGCTTCTCTGGTTGAACCCTTGAGCAGGAGAGTTTGGTTCCCTGGTGCTGCATTCGCTGACAAAACTCTGAAGCATCTCCGAGGCCTTGTTCGGCGGCTTCTTGTCGTGATCAATCTCGTCTGCAAAGAAAGACTTCCATGGCTTCTGGCTCTTCAGCGCTTCGAGAACTTGCAAGGCCCTACCGAAGCCAGGATCATCTTGTCTCTTTATCAGCTTTTCATGGTTGCAAGTCTTCTGGTCTTTAACCCCCTCCGCAGCAGTGTGAGAATGCCACTTGAACGAACGCCAGCAGAAGATTGTGCAGACGCAAAGGCTGCTGCGGATAAAGTTCACCTGCATGTACTTAATGATATGCTTTAGCATATCTGCCGTCTCCTCATCGCTGGCACCCTTGTCCGACAGGATCTCGATGAAGTGCACAAGGTCGATCCATGCTCGAACGTTGCACTGAGTAAGCCACAGCCAAAGAAAGACTTCAGACAGAATCCGCACAGCGTCAGCCGCCCTGCAGCTGCACTTCCGGAACTTCCAGACTGTCCTTCGCGTTTCCTGCCTGAACCGCACCCAGGTAACGGAGTAGACCACATCGCTGGCACATTGAGAATGGGAAGAACACCGCACACGGCAGCAAGACAGTCAACAAAGACGACGCACCAAAGCTCGCGCACCTCTTTCAGGGACGCTTTTTCATCCAGAAGCTTGTCCAGTCTGCTGCGTGTGGTCAAGTTTGAAACCCGCGATAATCGTCTGACGCCCATGGAAGTTGGAACGTTCACCGGCGGACTCTCCAGGGGCTCCGCCGAAACGGAAGCCTGCAGAGCGGTTGGCATGGAGCCAAACACTTAGCAGACTTAGCAGGTACAGAAAAGCAGTCCCAACCTACCCTCAAACAAAATACAACTCTGAAGGGAGAGGAGATGTGCAGCACCCGCCTGTGGGATTGGCTGGGTTGGCCGATTCGACTGTGTGGGCTGATCCGCACCTGACGCCACAGTCAAAGACAAAGGATGGAAGCAGAGCTCCCAAAAAGAGAAGAAAAAACGTGTCCCTCCTACCGGCCACCAACTTAAAGATCCTGCAGTGAGCCACCCTTTGTATGTGACTCACAGTCCATACACATTTCATGTGATGCTTGAGGCTCAAGTGGAATACACGGAGTTGGAGCTGGAAGCTGTCTGTTTACGCCAGAGGTTTGGCAGGTTCGTGCTTGGCTTTGGCCTAACCTGCCTTGCAGCTTCGTTTCCATGCTCCCGCTTCCTGCATTTAGGTGCAGCGCAACAGCCTACCGATTCTTTACGGTGTGCATAGAAGTCATGCGGCAATCACGGACCAGCGCCGTTCAATGGAATCTTCACAGGTTCATGCAGCCGTTTTGCCTGGCTTTGGAACCCTGCATCCAAGGCAGCTTCTGACGCAGCTGGGGTTTCGCCTCCGTCCTGCTGCTCAGTGAGGATCACCGGCAGACTCTCCAACTCCAGCGGCTCCACCGAAACGGAAGCCTGCAGAGCGGTTGGCATGGAGCCAAACACTTAGCAGACTTAGCAGGTACTCCGACAAGTAGGACGGCTCAACCTGCCAGCAACAAAGAAAAGCAGACCCAACCTACCCTCAAACAAAATACAACTCTGAAGGGAGAGGAGATGTGCAGCACCCGCCTGTGGGATTGGCTGGGTTGGCCGATTCGACTGTGTGGGCTGAACCGCACCTGACGCAACAGTCAAAGACAAAGGATGGAAGCAGAGCTCCCGAGAAAGAGAAGGGAAAACGTGTCCCTCCTACCGGCCACCACCTTAAAGATCCTGCAGTGAGCCACCCTTTGTATGTGACTCGCAGTCCATACACATTTCATGTGATGCTTGAGGCTCAAGGGGAATACACGGAGTTGGAGCTGGAAGCTGTCTGTTTACGCCAGAGGTTTGGCAGGTTCGTGCTTGGCTTTGGCCTAACCTGCCTTGAAGCTTCGTTTCCATGCTCCCGCTTCCTGCATTTAGGTGCAGCGCAACAGCCTCCGATTCTTTACGGTGTGCATAGAAGTCATGCGGCAATCACGGACCAGCGCAGTTCAATGGAATCTTCCCAGGTTCATGCAGCCTTTTTGCCTGGCTTTGGAACCCTGCTGCATCCAAGGCACCTTCTGACGCAGCTGGGGTTTCGCCTCCGTCCTGCTGCTCAGGGAGGATCACCGGCAGACTCTCCAACTCCAGCGGCTCCACCGAAACGGAAGCCTGCAGAGCGGTTGGCATGGAGCCAAACACTTAGCAGACTTAGCAGGTACTCCGACAAGTAGGACGGCTCAACCTGATCTGAACCCAGCAATAAAGAACCTACCCTCAAACAAAATACAACTCTGAAGGGAGAGGAGATGTGCAGCACCCGCCTGTGGGATTGGCTGGGTTGGCCGATTCGACTGTGTGGGCTGAACCGCACCTGACGCAACAGTCAAAGACAAAGGATGGAAGCAGAGCTCCCGAGAAAGAGAAGAGAAAACGTGTCCCTCCTACCGGCCACCACCTTAAAGATCCTGCAGTGAGCCACCATTTGTATGTGACTCGCAGTCCATACACATTTCATGTGATGCTTGAGGCTCAAGGGGAATACACGGCGTTGGAGCTTGAAGCTGTCTGTTTACGCCAGAGGTTTGGCAGGTTCGTGCTTGGCTTTGGCCTAACCTGCCTTGCAGCTTCGTTTCCATGCTCCCGCTTCCTGCATTTAGGTGCAGCGCAACAGCCTCCGATTCTTTACGGTGTGCATAGAAGTCATGCGGCAATCACGGACCAGCGCAGTTCAATGGAATCTTCCCAGGTTCATGCAGCCTTTTTGCCTGGCTTTGGAACCCTGCTGCATCCAAGGCACCTTCTGACGCAGCTGGGGTTTCGCCTGCGTCCTGCTGCTCAGGGAGGATCACCGGCAGACTCTGCAGCGGCTCCGCCGAAACGGAAGCCCGCAGAGCGGTTGGCATGGAGCCAAACACTTAGCAGACTTAGCAGGTACTCCGACAAGTAGGACGGCTCAACCTGATCTGAACCCAGCAATAAAGAAAAGCAGACCCAACCTACCCTCAAACAAAATACAACTCTGAAGGGAGAGGAGATGTGCAGCACCCGCCTGTGGGATTGGCTGGGTTGGCCGATTCGACTGTGTGGGCTGAACCGCACCTGACGCAACAGTCAAAGACAAAGGATGGAAGCAGAGCTCCCGAGAAAGAGACGAGAAAACGTGTCCCTCCTACCGGCCACCACCTTAAAGATCCTGCAGTGAGCCACCATTTGGATGTGACTCGCAGTCCATACACATTTCATGTGATGCTTGAGGCTCAAGGGGAATACACGGAGTTGGAGCTTGAAGCTGTCTGTTTACGCCAGAGGTTTGGCAGGTTCGTGCTTGGCTTTGGCCTAACCTGCCTTGCAGCTTCGTTTCCATGCTCCCGCTTCCTGCATTTAGGTGCAGCGCAACAGCCTACCGATTCTTTACGGTGTGCATAGAAGTCATGCGGCAATCACGGACCAGCGCCGTTCAATGGAATCTTCACAGGTTCATGCAGCCTTTTTGCCTGGCTTTGGAACCCTGCATCCAAGGCACCTTCTGACGCAGCTGGGATTTCGCCTCCGTCCTGCTGCTCAGGGAGGATCACCGGCAGACTCTCCAACTCCAGCGGCTCCACCGAAACGGAAGCCTGCAGAGCGGTTGGCATGGAGCCAAACACTTAGCAGACTTAGCAGGTACTCCGACAAGTAGGACGGCTCAACCTGATCTGAACCCAGCAATAAAGAACCTACCCTCAAACAAAATACAACTCTGAAGGGAGAGGAGATGTGCAGCACCCGCCTGTGGGATTGGCTGGGTTGGCCGATTCGACTGTGTGGGCTGAACCGCACCTGGCGCCACAGTCAAAGACAAAGGATGGAAGCAGAGCTCCCGAGAAAGAGAAGAGAAAACGTGTCCCTCCTACCGGCCACCAACTTAAAGATCCCGTAGTGAGCCACCCTTTGTATGTGACTCGCAGTCCATACACATTTCATGTGATGCTTGAGGCTCAAGGGGAATACACGGAGTTGGAGCTTGAAGCTGTCTGTTTACGCCAGAGGTTTGGCAGGTTCGTGCTTGGCTTTGGCCTAACCTGCCTTGCAGCTTCGTTTCCATGCTCCCGCTTCTTGCATTTAGGTGCAGCGCAACAGCCTACCGACTCTAGGTGGCTTGCCAACTGGATCGAAGTCACGCGGGGATCACGAGCCACGGTCAGTCAGTATCGACCCAGCAAGCCGGCCTTTCGTGCTACGGGTCACTTTCTTGATCTTCCCACCTGCCGCAGGAAACTTCGCGCTTTCTCTCTGAGAGCTTCGGAGTTCATTGTCTGGTGCCCCGAGACTAACAATCTTGCCAGCACAGTCGACGTTGGGTTAGGGTCCTTGCAAGGTAGAACCTACTACCTGTAACCCAAATCGATAGTTTTGCGGCTAAATAAAGGGTCTCTGCCAGCGGCTCCGAATGCGAATGGATTCGAATTCTGCAGCATGGCGTAGGCAGCGGATTCCGACAGGATAGCGCCAAAGATGTCAATGCGCGAAGCATAGCACTCGGCGAAAAAGTAAGCAGCGGCTTCAGTTCTGCTAGAGTCAAGCAAAACGACCTGCTTCTCGCGACAGCAACAGGAGAGGGAATCCCGCGGCAGGGAATGCAAAAGCCCAGTAGAAGTACATGCTTCACTGCTCGTATGCTCCTGTGATTTGCCTGACTCGTGGAGTTCCCTTTCAGTGGCTTTATAGCGCATGGAAGCCCACGAACGGCTGCCTGCGCCGTCGTTCGCCCTCAATGCCTCGTATGAGGTCGATGCTTCGCGGCTTCGGGCTCGGGTCTACGCGAGTCTACATCCCACTACAAGATAAGGTTCTTGAAGGCTCCGGAAACGAATAGCTGAAGCATGACCGGCATGACCCATGCTCCGAAGAAGCAAAGTAGGACATCTTCCTTGATGCTCAACAAGGGAGGAGCTACACACAGAACCGCTTGCTCGGAATGGAAGGGGAAGACCAAGCTTCGGCTTAGGGCTACAGCTCCCTTCTAGGGGCCAGGCCTTCACTTTTGTCTTCGGCACACTGTCATCGGCGTGAGGCTCCACCGGAGGAGGCATGACAGCGCGAGGGTTTGAACTGTTTGAGCCGCAAAATAGCAGCTATCTGCAGCAAGTCAGGGTCAACCATCGCACACACAACAAGCAGAGAAGCTATACACAGACTTTTCGTTTTGGCTTCGGCACGCTGCCATCAGCGTCAGGCTCCGTGGGAGGCATGACAGTGCTGAGGTGGGGAGTCGTGTGCAGCTACTCAGCTACTCACCGACATGTGAGCTTCGAGCCGCAACTGGCG